AAGAACACACTTTATTCACTTTTTCAGCTTACATAGCTATTTTAAAGGTTATATAAAGTATACTGTTAAATCTGAAATAAAATATCTAATAACTATTCACTTAATAAATAATGAAATTTAAAAAAAACACTTTAGTTTAGTTCTTTCTGTGATGTCGCCCGATTAAAGGTAATCGCTGGTTACACATTTTTTCCCTCTGCTTCAAAATGGTATTGATAATAAAACGTACTCCACTTGTTTTTGAGACAATGTGACGGATCTTTTTAGCCGCGGATCTTTAAGCCCCGATCTACCCTATCTATTTAAAAATCTTGGAGACCATAAACGTATTTCCTGAGAACATTCGTTTTATTCGCTTTTTGCTTTGACTTTTCTCGTTTCTTCAAATTCCTTCGTCTTTTCAACAACTCTCCCTCTCGAAACAATATTTCTTTATCGAATTTGTCGTATAGGGTTATTATAAAATCGTCTGACGCAATGTTAAGTTCGTTATGCAACTTCGTGAAAAATGTGCACGGAGTGTCGCGCCAAAAAGTACTTAAAGGATTTTTAAAAGCGCGATTTACAGCCCAGCACTGAAATTAAAACCCAATAAAACCTCGGAGAGAAATCTATGCCGTGTAAAAAATACTTTTAATGTGTTTATTTTGCTGGTAGCTCGGGTAACGGAGCTTCTCTGTAGCTGGAGTCGCCTCGGAATAAATTCAACAGACGAAGGGAGATTGCTATTGATTTGTTTGCTTTTATAGAAATATACACAAAGAGTTTAAATTTGATAATAATACACAAATTAAGAAACACAAGTTGGAAAATGAACACTTCCATACTTCACTTAAAGCTATTATAAAAGAAATTAATATGCATTTTGCGATTTCAACTTTCAGTAGTAAAAATTATTATAAAATTGATTAAATATAGCTTATAAATTTATATAAAAATAATTCAAAAGTTGTCATTTTTTATTTGATGAAGAGTAATTAATAAATTGAACTGAATTGAATTGAATTACTATCAAAGCTATATATAATTACTAGAGTTTAGTTTTAGTAGGTATTTGGTAATAATATTCAAATTATGAAATATATTATATATTAGAAAGTATTGCTAATATTCCAAACACTTTATAAATCATTGGTTATTTTATAGAATAAATATTGGCACAAAGATCCATTTTGACTTTGAGCAATTATATTATGAAAACCAAACACATTATATCCCAACAAATCACACATATCAAACAACCATCTCTCTGCCTAATGTGCAGGAAAATTCCTAAAAAATTCATCATAGCGAAATTATGTTCATTTTGTTATTTAAAAAAAAATGAACCTGCTTTTCAACCCATAGGCGGAGTAATAAGGGACAACTACAGGGCAGAAGATACAATGGTTTATTTTTAATTTTAAAGGGAATTTACGTAATAATAGCTAGATTGTTTAACTAATGCAAGATATGGGTATAGTTTTACAGATATAACACTGTATATAACCTTGATCTGGTATTTTATGATAAATATACGCAAACAGAGATAAAATAACTATTTATTTAATTTATCTCCTATGAAATTGTTTTTCCGAATTGAATTTACTTTTTATTTGCTATTTTTTATTATTCACACTTTTCCCAGGATTAGTTGGTTCTTTTTACCTCGACCACGTGCAATAAGGTTTTATTAAAAAAATCAAAATTTTGCTGAATAGAACTTAAAATTAATAACAACTTAAAAAAAGTAATAACGTATACTTGACAATTATATATAAACTAAACAACAGTGCTCACAACCAAAAAATCTAATAGCGAAAGAAAGCACTTTTATTATGGGTTTTTAAACATTTCTGTTTTTCCTGAAGTTTTGTTTTATACTTGCTTTTATAATGTTATAATGACTTAATTTGTTGTCCATTATAAAAGTCATTAAGATATAAAAGACCAACCAATAAGATTTAAACAAGTTCATTTACTTCTTGTAATATATTATGGTTTGTCTCATGTTAACAACTACCTTATGGTTCATAAAAATAGTTTCAAACTTATCCTGTCTAACTGATCATCTATTATATCAAGCACTTCTGTGAAAATCACAATTACATCAGTTTTCAAAACTGTGACCAGAAGAAAATAAAATCAGTAGTCTCTCCACGGCGCGATTTTATTATGCAAATTAGTAAGTTTTATATCGTTGAAGTTAAACTTGAAGCTAGTTGAAATGAATAAAGTTTCTGTCGCCGTCAGTGACTTCTTTCCTCTAAGTAACTTTTATATCGAAAAACAAAAATATTTTTTTTATAAATTCTGTGAGACGAATACGGGAAAGCATAAATATACATATTGAACATATTGACTCATATCAACTAATTGTTTGATTATTCGCAAACAAGACTAAAAGAAAACTATATGCAATATATAAAAAAAAATTAAATTTTGGAATTCTACTTGAAGCAACAACATTTGAAAAGCATTTTGCCTTAAGAGAGTGGCATGATCTTAATCTATGAGAATTCATATTTAGCAACCTTTTCAATAGTGGGGGATAAAACTTTAAAATATATATTTCTAAATTCAATTGATATTTCTTAAAAAGCTTGTTATAATTAAATATTATATATTCATATTTCACTATCTATTCTACTTTTTGTTCTAAAACTGTATTACATTTAAGTGTGACGTCAACGGTGATCAGTACAATTACTAAACTAGTGGTGTGTATTGCATCGTGACTTAAGGCAAATTGCTGGAACTTCCCGTACCCTAACGAAATGTTCGAGAAATATTAAATGTTTTCAAATAGATGATTATAAATAAATACTGTAACATTGTCCAATATTTATTAGAATTATATACACTGAATTGCAAAGTTGAAAAAATTTGTTTAAAGTATATACCATAAGAACCCAGAATTAGAATTACAATTAATCTGAATTATTTTCGATATACAAAAAAAAATTGAAACATTTTTTTCCCAAAAGCAATTACTTTGTTTAAAAAAGCAGAAAGTTCTTTTAATCATTTAAATCGGACGCTTAGTTCTCTTAAAAATTATTTTTTGCACATTTATCTCTGTATCCTCGAATCCGCTGGACCTGTATTTGCCAAACTACTACAACTAATCACTACTTCTCACCGTCATTACGAATTGAATGTTTTTTGGATCATTCAAATCGGATGCTCCGATCTCTCAAAAAGTCGACTTCTATTTTCTGCACTCTTTGCTCCGTATCTCCGAAACTGCTAGACCTGCCTTTGCCAAATACTAATCAGCGCATTTCCCTATGTATAGGAATCAAATGTTTTTTGAACCATCCAAATCGGGTGATCCGTACGCCTGAAAACGTGGACGAAAAATTGTATCTCTGCATACATACACAAGCACACTCACACTCACACATCAGTTCTTTTTTAGGTATGCCAAAATGTACAGAAACCTTCGAAATGTAAAAATTTTCAATTTCGATTTTTGAACGATTACAATAACTTACCCTATGGGAAGTTAACAAATACATGGCGCATGTTTTAATAGCCGCCTTATTATTTCAAACTACTTTAATAAATTCTTAAAACTAAACCACTTTTTATCTCATTGATCAACAAAATAAACTTTATTATCCTACAAAGTTTAACCAAAATCGTCAAATCGTCAAAAGTAATTTCAGAAAATTGTTTTAAAATTTTAAAGATTAAATCATTTTTTGTATGTCTATAATATATTAGGATGTTCTTCAAGTCATAAACTTTATCATCATACAAAGTTTCATCAAAATCGTCAAAAATATCATTTTTCAGCATTCGTCATCAGCATTTGTCTGCTGACTGTAAAGAAACGCCTAGGCAGATGTTCTTATAAAATGAATGAAACGAGTAACGAAGCGAGTAACGAGTAAACGAAATTTTAGAGTAGTTTCATCAATTGGAAAATATATTTTTGAAATCGATGCAGCCAGTTTTGTTAAAACTAAAAAGTCAAGTTTTTGCAAACATACACACATATACCTTTTCTCAGAATCTCAAATAAAACCAAAAATCGAAGTTTCTGAGAAAATTTACCTTACCTTAAGGAAGTTAATACTAATGGTCCAACCATTGAACCATTATTCAATTTTTTTTTATTCATAAAAATAGTTTTAGTCAATTTTATGAATGCATACTATGGCTATACAATTATGTATAAACTTGTATTGATAGATTTATTTTAAAAAATAGTTAAATTTATGGCACTGTTAAAATCTGTGAAATAAGTTAAATATTCATAAAAAGTATTATTAAGATTGAATATTTTATTAAATTATATTACATATTTATTTATGTTCTTGGGTTTATAGTTTATTATTTGTATGATAAATTAAATATATTTTTTATAACTTTTATTTGAAATAACATAGTTTATACAATCTGAATATACTTTCATATACTTTAATAATAACAACAAATCATTATACAAGATGACAGAAAACAAAGCAAATATTCAACATGTTATATAAACTCGCCGTATATTCCCAAATATATTTCTTTTCACTTTGCCATTACTTATATATAATAAACTCAATAAAACATAGCACAAACATTGAATAAAAGACTCTTTCAGAAGTTCATATGATTTTAGTCGGTATATACAAACAAAGTACACGGCATGTAATTCAATTACGAATTTACAACAAATTGCGTTCAATGTAGAAGCTTGTACCGGATAAAAATTAAGATTAAATTTCATTTAAGTTTCACTCAACTCTCGGTCATTAAAGTTTTATTTGAATTAACAGTAAAGCCAGTTACTAAGGAAAAGTTACGCCGATAGAATTATTTCTCTTGCTAATCTAATTTTTATTTTTGTCTAAAAGTTTTGGAGTAAAATTCTAAAATGATAGTGTATTTGCAAACGCAAAATCTAACGTTTCTTTATGTACTATCTAAATTCTGGTTCTATGATTAGCAATTTTATTTCAGATGCATAAAATGTGATTATATAAATTGGTATACTCTAATATGATTATTGTTTTTTTTTTCAGGTGATAAATATGAAACAGTATCAGCTCATAGTGGTTACAGTAAATACATGACTCTCAAAATAAGATCTGTTGGTCCTGACGATTTTGGGTCATACAGATGTGTAGCCAAGAATTCTTTGGGCGAAACCGATGGACTTATTAAATTAGATGGTGTGTATAGAGAATAAATAATTAATTAAAAACATTTTTATATCACAAAAACGACAATTAGTCTCATACTTTTAATTTTTTTTTTCAGAAATACCAGCACCGACAACAGTTCTAACCACCGAATCACCATCAAATAGATCTAAAGGTAAGGGTTCTGATTATTTCATTTAATATATTTGAAAATAAATTATAATTTCTTTATCAAAACTGTAATCAAATAGCGCATAGTTCATAAATAGCTTGCAGGAAAAAATTAGATATTGAATCTTAAACTTTGAAGATATATCCGTTTTTTGGACGAATTTCGATATCGTACAAATTTATGGCACATAATTTTTGGAATCTCACTCAGTTTGCTAGGAATAATAATTAAATAATTAAAAAATTAGTGTTTGGTTTTTAATTAAAAGAAATTTTGAATCAACATCTGGTTAAAACCTTGACGCTTCAAATACTAATATATATATGTGTATAAATTACAAATATTAGTATTATACTTTTTTGATTATTGGAAATCTGCTCTATTAAGCAAAATAGTTTTATATAGTAAATAGCTTGCAAGAAAATTAATACTGTCTGTTAAATTTCTTTATTTTCAATGTCACGATATTCCAAATATATTTGGGATGTGTCTACTGCTGAATCAGCCCTCAAAGCGTTATATATTAAAATCTATTAAAAAAATTAGAACTTCTTTATAATACAATAAATAATAACGTAAATTTTAGTCTATTTGAGTATTTGTAAAAAAAACAGCATATCATGTGATATTTTTTTTATTCTCTATTTCATTTACAAATGTTAAGGATATTTAGTAAAATTGTATAGATGTCAAATATTTTAATCATAGTAGATATATCATTTGACTGAAATCTGCTATATAGGAAGTCACAGATATTCAACAAACGCTATCATGAAACTGATTCAATGCATTTATTCATATTTATGAATTCGAAAACTTATATAAAATCGGTGATTTCATTAAATGACTCATATGATTGATAGTGATATAAGCCTCTCAAAATTAGAAGCAAGTAATTTTTCGATCAAAAAACTAACAAAATGTTTCAATAAAGTTTTGAGAGCTAAATAAAAAAAATATAATTTGAAAATACCAATCTATCGCTTCATTCCTATTTAACTTTGACGTGGGTGTAAATCCGTGTAGTCGTTTTGTAAGATGCTCGAATCTGAGTATTGCAAGACAGCTATAATCCCTTTACAAAAACACTATCGTATATCGGACATACATACCTGTGGGATTTCAGCCTCAATTAACGGATTAGACGTGATATTTGAACAGTATAGCAAACGTTGTTACAAGAATTAAAAATTTAGTGATCGAATTTCACACCAGTAGCATTGTATAAACAGATACAATTATGTTATGTAGTGCCTTTTTCAGAGGGTAGGTCATGAACTGCAATTCAACTATACTTGCATGAAAATTTTTTTTAATTGTTATTTGCAATTCAAATAAATATTTCTCTTTTCTGATATCAGGTTTTGTTATTTGAATTGAGTTCTTTACTCAAACCAAATTGTTTGAAACAATTTTTTTCAATTTAAAAAAAAATCGTATCTATCGTGCCTCAAGCCAAATTGCTCGAACTTCCCGTTCCGTAAAAAATGCTTTTAAATAGATTATTAGAAATACTGTTACTATCATCATTCGTATCTTATAGAAATTAAAAATGCTTTTAAATTAGACAATGATGTTTATACAAGTTTTCATAAAAAGTGAATAAACAAAAATGAATCAAGCGGAATTAGAATGAAGAAACCTTATCTCATATTTCTAAGAATTGTATTAACTGAATTGCAAAGTTTAAATTACTTAGCTCAAGTATATAAGTGAGCTTTGGAATTTTAGCTAAAATTGAAATTAAAATCCAAATTATGTTCGATATTCAAAAAAAAATTTTTTTTATAAAACATTGGTTTCCCCAAAAATAATCGTTTCGTCAAAACAAGCAAAAGATTACTTGAATTATTCAAATTAGATGCTTTTTTCTCTCAAATACTACCATTTTCTGCACATTTAGCTCAGTATCTCCGAAACGGCTGGACCTGTCTTTGCCAAAAACTAATCAACACTTCCCTTATCATCATTACGAATTAAATGTATTTTGAATCATTCAAATCGGATGCTCCGGATTCTCAAACACTTTTTGCTCGATGTCTCCAAAACGGCTAGACCAACTATTCCTAAAATCTAATTGGCACGGCTACTTATCAAAAGGAATCAAAAGCTTATTTTGAATAATTCAAATCGGTCGATCCATACTTCCAAAAACGTCGACAAAAAATTGTATTCATACATACGTACACACACACATTCATTTTTTCTAAGGTATGCCAAAATGTTCAGAAATCTCTCAAACGTAAAGATAGGTGAAAAATTATTTTACATTTTTAGACGATTACATAACCTACCCAACGGTAAGTTAATTACATGAAAATCAAAAATATAATATGTAAAAGCCTTGAATCTCCAATTGTGCCAGTTCAATTGGAACAAAATCAATTGGGCATGTTTTGCAGTGGGTAAACTAGGTATGTAATGTGTGTTAGCTACCTCTTCCAAAGGGCTTCCAATACCGTACTGAAATCTGAATACCGGCATTCGGTATTTGAAATTTGTAATACCGGAATTCCGGTTTTAATACCGGTACCATCAATGAAAAATTTACTAGTCATATTTTTAGTTACCGACATATTAACATTATTAATGTTCTAAAATGAGTACATATTAAATATTTTATTACATAGAGAATAGGAGTAGATAGATAGAAAAAAAAACGTGCAAGTAAACAGTTATATATTACTTTTTATTTTACACTATACATATAATAGACCTATATGGAATTATATATTTAAGGAAAAAAAACAAATTCAAACTAGTGGTGCCTTAAGGCTAATTGCTGGAACTTTCCGTAACGTAATTAAAATTGGAGGAAAATTGAATGTTTTCAAATCGATTATTATAAATACTGTAACTTATGTTTACGGAAAAGTAAATAAACAAAACTTAATCAATCGAATTAAAAATTAAGGACTTTGTGTAATATTTATAAGATCCTGGTATTCGAGATCATGAAATCGCCCGATATTGCAATCCCTACTCTTCCACTATATACCACATACTTTTACATGCACAATCATTTACTTATACTTAGAATTTTTTTAAATATGTTTTTGGCTAAACATTGAAATATCCAATATTTTGAACTGAACATCACTGTTTTAACCGTCCTACCCCACACCTTACATATGTAACAAAAAGCTTAATTGGTTTTCGCCCCGGATTAACGCGGAGTATCATCCGGGTACTTTCTGATTTATGCGAATAGATGGTTCTGCGTGTCGACCGTCTTGTAAAACATCGCAAAAAATAAACTACCTCGGCATGTCTTGCTCGATCTGCCATCTACGAGCTCGTAATTATGCCTTAAGCGCTGAAATTAACGTCGCCATTTAAACGAGACCGAGTTATCACTGAGAACAGAGAGAAAATAAGGCAAATTAGTGTTATATGCAAAACGATATATTTTATCAACGTTCCAGTTATACTATTCTCAAAGAGAATTGAGTTGTCTTCCTTTGAATATGTTTAAGAAGAAATCATGGTGTCTTATATATATAAAACACTAGTTATGAAACGTTTGACGACTGATGTTATTATTTATTTATTTATTTATTTAAATATATAGCCCACAGATTTCTCTAAGAGGACTCAAAAATACAATTATTTTACATAATGAATAACAATTAAAATATATACAAAATTACAATATATAGTTAGTAACATAAAATGCTTAAGATAAAATTACATATAATGCAGAATGTAACAATATTATTTATAAACAGAATAAGATAAAATAATGAGATATTTGAAAAGAAAGTATGAAGGTTAACTTGTGAAGATGGAGATTATTTGATTAGGTGAAGTGTTGTGAATATCTATTTCATTATTAATTAAGTTAAAGTAAGAGGACATAAGTTAAATAGGCGAATTTAAGAGAGAATTATATTTAGGAGTAGGATAATTGAAAAATAATTGTGAACGCGTAGATAGCCTTGAAACATTAAAGGATAGTTGATTGAGAATAAGAGGACAATCTACAGAATTATTGCAAAGTTTAAATAATAACATAATTGTACAGATAAATCGACGTGAGGCAAGGGAAGGAATATCAAATTCTTTCAGTAAAGTGTTGTGGTCATAGCCACGTTCAGGGTAAATTTTATATATTTTATAACAAAGGTATTTTAGAAATTTTCGCTGAACCTTGTCTATCGCATCAGAGTTGTTGATTTGATGAGGATACCAAATAATCGAACCATATTTTAATTTTGAACGTACAATAGAATAGTACATGCAAAGAAGTGCATTGGTAGATTTAAATTGTTTACAATTTCTCAATATCAAACCTAAAGATTTATGTGCTCTATTACAAATATCAGTTCTATGATCCGTGAAAAACAAACCAGAATAAAATAGAACTCCTAAATCTGAAATTTTATTACATCTATCAATGCTGGTGTTAGAAATTTTATAATCAAAAAGTATTGGAACGCGCTTATGTGAAAAACTAAGAATCTTGCACTTTGATTATGAATATGTTATGATGTATGATCATAGTGAAAAATTGAGTTCATAATTTGCAACCACAAATTTAAGATATTTTTTTATTTTAACTCTTTTAATATATTTTTAGCATAGGGGAGATAGGGTAGCAAGGGAAAAGATGTATTTTGTTTGAACAAGTTCAAATTATTGTTTTCAGTAAAAGTCTTACATTATCATGATCTGTAAAGCTCATTGCTTTTAAAAATACAAAAATAAGTTTTATTGCATAATTTATTTTAATAATACCTGTTACTTGTATACAGATAGAATACTTTGTTTGCTAATTTGCTGTAAATTGAGCATTTGTAGTTGAGTACCGACAATTAATTTTTAGCTAGATAATTTAGCTTAGTCATAACGATGATTTGTCTTCAAAAATGTGCGTTGGGTTGATACAAATTTTGTGGTATGGTTTTGACATGTCGTGTGTCTTTTTCGGCTGAAAGGTTTAACATGTACAAAAAAATCTCACTCAACTAATACAAAATACAAAAGAGAAAAGTAAAAGAAAA